GGGCATGCAGGCCTCGGAAGAAATATAGGTGAAAGCTCATGCCACATTCCTGTGTCCATGGCCCCCCCACTGCCATAGGCAGGACGGGGGAGAGGGGAGGATGGGGAGCTCCTCCTCCTCCTCCTCCTCCTCCTCCTCCTCCTCCGCCTCGTGCGGTGCTGCCGCGGGAGCCCGAGCCCTACCTGGCGGAGACGGCGGCCATGGACGATCACCTGGCGTACCAGCGGCCTGGGGTGCAGGAGCAGCGCCTGTCGCAGCGGTACGGGGACTGGGTGAGCAGGGTGGAGGAGGCCGTCCTGAACCAGCACGAGGTATGCGAGGCTGAGCGCTCGGCGTACAGAGGGCGGGCCCGAGGCTACGCGGTGGCGTGGAAGAGGGTTCGTTCTACCCCGGGCAGGGCGCACATGCGATGTCACAAGGCGGAGAAGATGAGCTTCTGCGCCACGCTGGTGCAACGCTACCACAGCCTGATGTGTAGCAAGAAGAATGAGCAGCAGCGGGTCTGTGTGGCGGCGCGGTTGAGCGGCCTCGTGACGGAGCTCAAGGGCCAGGGCCTGCTGAGCTTCTTCGGCGATGACGGCTGCATGGACATGTGGTGCGAACAGGTCCAGGCCATCAGGGCCCTCAACCGGCCCGCGCGGGAGCAGCTGCAGGAGACGACTGACCAGTTGGCGGCGAGAGGCCAGGCGAGGGCGCTTGGCGAGTCACGTCGGGCCTTCACCAAGTGGGCCAAGACGGCGTGGCGCGAGCACGCGGGCCTGCTCCACCAGCATGTGAAGCCCGACAGGCCGATCGTCAACGAGTTGGTGGTGGAAGGGCCAGGGCGCGTGGAGCTACTCTCGCAGCCGAGCCAGATCATGGACAAGAGGGCCGAGAAGTGGGGCGCCCTCTGGCAGGACACCTGCAGCTTCACGGGGCGCACCGACACCGGCAAGGAAGTCCAGGAATTTTCCGGAAAATCCTGGACTTGCCGGGGGGTAGATGAGAATCTCAGGCTCCAGCTGATCAGGACACTGGAGGTGGCCAGGGAGGAGGACTACCCGCCGCTGGAGCTGGAGGAGTTCACCACTGCCCTGCGGTCCATTGGCGGCACGAAGGCGGGGGGGGTGGACGTCCTGAGCTCTCTTGACGTGGACCGCCTGCCCGAGGCGGCCAAGCGGGACCTGACCGACCTGGCCAACGAGTGCGAGCAGGAGGGATGCTGGCCGCGGCAGTGCATGGCGGTACTGGCGGCGGCCGTGCCCAAGCCTGCGGGCGGCGACCGAGTGTTGGGCATGATCCCGCTGCTGCAAGGCCTGGAGCAAGGCTCGAGGTGCCATCGTCTGGACCTGGACGGAGGAGCTGGGCGCCTTCTGGGACGGGGCGATCAAGGGCAGCTCCTCCCTGCGCGCTGCCCTGTACAGGGCGGTGCTGGACGAGGTCGGCAGGGAGCTGCTCACGGCCTCGGGCACCCTGCTGCTTGACCTGCAGACCTTCTACGACACCATCAGCCTCGTGCTGCTGATGGAGCTGGCGGTGGAGGTCAAGTACCCTGCGATCGTCGTGGCCATGGAGGTCCAGCTCTTCTTGGCGCCGAGGCTGCTGAAGGACCGCCACCACGGGCTCAGCATGGCCATTTACCCGACGCGCTCGGTGGTGGCGGGCTCGGCGAGGGGAGTGAGCCTGGCCAAGGTGTATATGCATCAGGTGCTGCAGCGCGCCCACCAGGTGGCGCCGTCCTGCGGCCTCTGGACCTTCGTGGACGACACGACGGCGCGGCAAGAGGGCTCCAAGAAGGCCGTGGTGCAGGGGCTCAAGGAGGTGGGCCGGGTCTTCGAGCAGGGCTTCGTGGTCGAGAGGGGCCTGACCATTTCTGAGAAGACGCAGGTGCTGGCGTCGGACGCGGAGCTGGCGCTGGAGCTGCGAGGGGCCTTGTCCACGCGCGCGCTGCCTGTCAAGGCCGTGCAGACGGCGGTGGACCTGGGCTGCGACGCGGCCGCGGGGCGACGCCGATCGTGCCGGAAGATCGGCGCCCGATTTCGCGCGGGCCTACTGCGAGCTGGCAAGATCAAGCGCGTCAGGCAGCGCGCGGCCCTGGCGCTGGAGGCCAAGGGGCTGTGGACCACGGGGGCCCTGCCACAGGCTGCCTACGGCAGCCAGCTGCAGGGCCTGGCGCCGTCGCGGCTCCAGGAGCTGAGGCGACAGGCGGGCGCGACAGCAGGTGGGCAGGTGGGCGGCCGCTGCCTCACCACGGTTCTGGCGACCACCGTGGGCGAGGACCCGGGCATCGGCCTGCGCCTGCAGCTGCTGGACTCCTGGCTGACGCTGTGGGAGACGGCGCCCGAGCTGCACGAGCGCATCAAACGGGCGTGGGGCCGAGTTCGGCAGGCTCTCGTCGCTGCTGGCGGCCGCCGCTGGTGCAGGGTCCGTGGCCCGCTGGGCGCTGTCCAGGCGACGCTGATGGACATGGGCTGGGAACCGACCAGTGCGGGCCGCTGGATTCGGCCCGAGCACCAGGGCGACTGGAGCGTCCAAGCGACGCGAGCTGGCGGCGCGCCCTACACCGAGTGGCTCCTGGTGCAGGCGGGGGACGAGGCCTTCGGCTCCTTCGTGGATCACCAGGCGCTGCTCCACGACGCAAAGGAGGACATGCGGCACCAGTACTGGCGCCAGGCGGCTCGCCATGAGGGCGGGGCGAGCCTGGCGGGCGGCGCGGACCCCTCGCAGATCGTGCTGGAGCAACGGCGTTTCGCCCGCCGCCACCAGTGGGCGGAGTGGGGCCTCAACGCGGCGGTGACGAGCGGCGGCCAGTGGACGCGGAGGCGCAGGCGAGCTGCGGGCTACCTCGTCACCGAGCTGTGCCCGCGGTGTGAGGCCGCTCCTGAGACGCTCGAGCATCGCATCTGGCAGTGCCTGGGAAACAGTCTCGAGCATCCAGAGTTTCGGCAGTCTGAGTGTCTAGTGCCCCAGGCCTTGGCGGGCCTCGAGAGCGACCCCGCGATGTGGCTCCGAGGGCTCCCCCCAGAGGCTCTCACAGTGCCCCGCTTTTCGGATGAGGCCCTGGCGGACCAGGAGCTCACCTTCGGGGTAGGGGCCCTGGACGACTGTCGGGTGGAGGGACGGGTTACGGTCTTCGGGGACGGGTCGGGAGGGAAGCACTCGGACGACCCGAGGCGGCGGCGCTGCGGAGCAGCGGTAGCGACCATCCAGTGGTGCCCGCATCGCCAGTTCTGGAAGCTGGGCCGCATGAAGGCCGTCCCTCTCCTCGGCCACAAGCAGTCTGTTCCGAGGTCGGAAACCTTGGCCCTGGCCATGGCCCTCGAGGGCACGACGGGGGACCTTTTGTTTGTCACGGACCACCAGGCCCTCCTGAGGGCCTGGCCCAGGCGCTCCAAAACGGACTCGAGGGGTGTCAACGAAGATTTGTGGCATCGAATTCGCCGTGCGTTGCGCAGCCGTGGCACGGGCTCTGTGGAGCTCGAGTGGGTTCCGTCCCATGCAGAATGCGATGGGGCGCAGCTCGGAACGGAGCGCGAGGCCTTCCTGGCAGCCGGCAACGCGGTTGCTGATATTGGGGCGGGGAGGGCGGCGGAGTGGGCGTCGGAGGTTGGCACGGTGCACGCGGCCGAGCATGGTGACCAGAGGGATGCGACCGCGGCCTTGGTGAGGCGACGCGCCCGCAAGGCACTCCAGCTGGCCCTCGAGGTAGATTCGGCCAAGGCGGAGCGGGTAGCCAAGCAGCGAGTGCCCCCCCCCTCGAAACGGCGTGCGGCCATCGAGAGCTCGGCCCACTCGCTTCGCCCAGTCGGCTCGAAATGGCAATGCAGTGTCTGCCAGCAGCTTGTTCATAAAGCCTCCCTCCTTGAATTCTGTGCTACCCCGTGCCAGGTGCCAGTGCAGTCCAGGCAGTGTCGGGAAGCGCAGGTGCCGTGTGCGAGCAGGGAGCCCCAGCAGGGGGTTGCTGCTGACATCCACCCGTCCCATAAGCGCGGGTGGTGGGGGGCCTACTCCCTCCACTACTGCCACAAGTGTGGCCGTGTGGCCACGGTTGATTTCAGATATCTGAAGAAGCAGTGCCCTGGCAAGACTGCCAAAGGGCGGGAGAATTTGTCCAGGATTGCCAGGGGGCTCTATCCCAGACGGGAAGGAGCCCCCAAGGCAATCCGCGAGGCTGCGTTCCTGGCCGAGGTTGAGGAGGCCGTCCAGCAAGCCGCCGCCCGCCGAGAGCTCAAAGCTGGTGGGGGAGCGTGTCCCGCGGGGTCCGGTGGGGCGGAAGGGCCAGGAGCAGCGAGTACAGTGCCGAGCCAGGCTGCGTCTCTCGATCCTGAGGAGGAGGCGGCGGCCTGGTTGTTTTCGGAGGGTGGGTCGAGTAGTGGGGCGGCCCCAAGCCGGAACCCTGCTGTTTCACGGGGTGCCCCGACACAGGCAGGGAAGTCCAGGAATTTTCCGGAAAAACCTGGACTTGCCGGGGGGTGTCTCGACCCAGGCCCAGCTTTGCCGCCTCCCGCGGCGCCGTGAGCTGTAGGTGCATGAGTTGGAGGGCCCCTGCTGTGCCTGGTGTTGGCTTCGGCTCTCACCAGGGGTGGCTCGGTGGTCGCTCGCGCCGCCTGAAGGCGCTCTTTTAGAATCCATCGCTAGAATCCTCCTCCGCCTCGTCCCTCTCCTACCGATGGTAGTGGTGGTGGAAAATGGACCCATCACTCGTGCCACATTCCTGTGCCCATGCCCTCCCTCGCAATGATCAACGTTGGCGGAGGGTTGGATGGTTGGATGGGTTGCACTTCGCCCGAGGTCTTCCCTGCGAGTGCCAACTTTGGGCTTTGGCGGGCGGGGGGGCGTCCACTCATTGTTTCCCTCTACCGCACAGAAGGTTGAAGGAACGCCTGGGTGCACGAGGAGGGCTATGGGAACAACCACGGAACGACCCGTGGAAAGAACAGCGAGCCCCTTCCGAATGCAACGCGGTCCTGCCTTCAGGGCCTCGACTGCCTGCCATGTGTCAACTCTCTGCGACGCCGCGCCTCCTCCTGCTCGTCGTAATCGCCGCCGACGAGCTGGGACATCTGCGTGTCGTGCGCGTGGGGGTCGAAGTCCTTCGAGAACCCTGCTTTGCATGTTTCGCGCTACGGGCCGTAACCAGCTCTGCCCCCCCCCCTGGTAGGTACCGTCACGGCTCGGGCTGACCTCCGAGCTGTCCCTGCTCCTCCCAAGATGTTCCCCGATGGCGTGCCGGCGCGGAACGTGACGCTACCGGCCCCCGCCCTGCTCCCCCCCCCCACGGTAGCGCCTGTTGTCGCCCGAGAATAAAGAGACGCTCTGTCATCGGTATCGGCGCTCGGCGCGTCCATTCCCTGTCTTGACGGCGCCCACGGAGGGGTGGCGCGATGGCGGCGGCCCGTAGACCTGCCATCGCTCGGGCGTCCCTTCGCCGTGCACTGTCTACTGGCTTCGTGCGGTCTTTCTGTCCTCGACAGGTGACGTAAGATGCTCCTCGATGGTCTTCGCCGAGGAAAAAGGGGACATGTCCGAGCGATGCCAAGCAACAGAAGGCGGGGGAGCTTTGAAGAAGGCGGGGGCCCCTTAGACGCCCCTCTGGCCTGCCTTCTGGGAAGCCACCCGGGCCCTTCTGAGAAGGCCCCCTGCCTTCATGCGCGGGCAAGCTTTATATCCTGAGTCACCGCGTCTTGGACTTTCTGGGGATTAGCGCCAAAAGGCCGAGGCGCAGTGGATATGGATACAATTCAAGCCTCTAGGGGCCAGATCGTTATCCACATCCACATCCACTGCGCCTCTGGTTCCTGGCGAAGGGGGCCCGAAACACCAAGACGCAGTGGGTATGGATACAAATATTGCCCGCGCAATGGAAGCACAACGACCTGCAAAAACATACACGTTCCGAGGTCCACGCGGACTTCTTCGATCGGCGCTGGACGCGCCGCCAAGGGGACCCAGCGCCGAACCGAGAAATCCGCGTGGGCCGCCGAAAGCTTATGTTTATGCAGTCCTTGTTCCTCGGCTTACAAAAAAGCACCCCGCATTCTTAGGAGGCCATCGGCGACGTCGGCGACGCATCGGCGATGCATCCGCGACGTCGGCGATGCATCGTTGCCATCGGCGTGAACACCTTCTGGTCCCACATCGAGCCGCATCCTCCATGCATCTGCGATGCGGGGCGAGCATTCGACCCCATCTTCTCGGACCCCATCTGTGAGGTCCAGGTTCTGAGAAAGCCCCCCCCCCCTCCCCAGGGATTTGTTTCGCGGTAACCTTCCGCAGGATGGTCTCCATCCCCCAACATCCCTCCCTCCACCGCCCACCCTCGGGAGGTTCGTAGGTGCAGGGCTTGCTCCAGATTTTCCCTCTTCAAGAACCGTCAGCGCGTTTCACGGGCGCTGGCTCTGGGAACACTCGGCGGCGCGTTTGAAACGGGTGGGCGCCCCCAACCTTCGGCGCCGTCGAACCGAACCAGGGGCACTCCCCTCCCCACCCCGTCCCCACCCCGTCCCCGAATAACCCCCTCCCACGGCGCAGGCAGAGGGGGGGGTCGCCCGGCGCCGGCGCGCTAGCGCTGGCGGCGACGGCGGCGGCGGCGGCGGCTGGCAGCGCCGACGGCGGCGACGCGCCGACGATGACCATGACGAAGATGACGATGACGACGACAAGCTCCCTTGTAGTCCTCTCTCCTCGGCCCCTCGGCCCTGACTGTCAGAATATTGACGGGCACGAGCTTCAAATAGAAATACTATTCGCACTGCGTCGCGTGCCTCCCGCGCTGTCCGTCGTCGTCGTCGTCGCCGTCGTGGTCGTCGTCGTCGTCAACGTCTTCGTTGTCATCGCTGTCGTCGTCGTCGTCGTCGTCGTCGTCGTCATGCTCGAAGACGTCGTGGTCGCCGTCGCGGTCGTCGTGGTCGTCGTCGTGGTCGCCGTCGTCGCCGTCGCCGTCGTCGTCGTCGTCGTCGTCGTCGTCATGCTGGGAAGCGTCGTGATCGCCGTCGCCGTCGTCGTCGCCGTAAACGTCATCGTCGTCGTCGCCGTCGTGGCCGTCGTCGTCATGGTCGCCGTCGTCGTCGTCGTCGCCGTCATCGTCGTCGCCGTCGTCCTTGATGTCGCCGGCATATTCGTCGTCGTCGTCGACGTCGCCGTCGTCGTCGCCGTCGCCGTAGTCGTCGTCGTTGTCGTCGTCGCCATCGTCCCGTTCGTTATCGCCGTCGACGTCGTCTTCGTCGCCGTCGCCGTCGTCGTCGTCGTCGTTGACGTCATCGTCGTCGTCGTCGTCGTCGTCGCCGTCGTCGTCGTCGTCGTCGTCGTCGTAATCGTCCTCATCGTCGCCGCTGAAGTCGTCGTCGTCGTCGTGCTCAACGTCGCCGTCATCGTCGTCTTTGTCGTCGTCGTCGTCTTCGTTGTCGTCGTCGTGCTCGTCGACGTCGTCGTTGTCGGCGTCCTCGCCGTCGTCGTCGTCCCTGTCGTCGTCGTCGTCGTCCTCGTCGTCGTCGTCGTCGTCGTCGTACGTCGTCATCGTCGCCGTCGTCGTCGTCGTCGTCGCCGTCGTCGCCGTCGTCGTCGTCGTCGTCGTTGTCGTCGTCGTCGTCGCCGTTGTCTTCGTCGCCGCCGTCGTCGCCGTCGCATTCGTCGCCGTCGTCGTCGTCGTCGCCGTCGTCGTCGTCGCCGTCGTCGTCGTCCTTGTCGTCGCGACCGTCGTCGTCGTGGTTATCGTCGCCGCCGTCGTCGTCGCCGTCGTCGTCGTCGTTGATGTCGCCGTCACCATCAACGTCGTCGTAGTCGTCGTCTCCGTCGTCGTGATCGTCGTCGTCGCCGTCGTCGTCGTCGTAGTCGTCGTCGCCGTCGTCGTCGTCATCGTCGCTTAGTCGCCGTCGTCGTCGTCGTCGCCATCAACATTGTCGCCGTCGTCGTCGTCGTCTTCGCCGTCGTTGTCGCTGTCGTCGTCGGTGCCAACGTTGTCGTCGTCGCCATCGTCGACGTGCTCGTCGTAGTCGTCGTCGTCGTCGACGGCGTCGTCGCCGTCGTCGCTGATGTCGCCATCGTCGTCGTCGTCCTTGTCGTCGTCGCCGTCGCCATCGTCCTCGTCGTGGTATTCGAAGTCGTCGCCGTCGCCGATGTTGTCATCGTCGTCGTTGCCGCCGTCGTCGTCGTTGCCGCCGTCGTCGTCGTCGTCGTTGCCGTCGTCGCAGTGGTCGTCGTGCTGATCGTGGTCGTCGTCCGTGTCGTCGTCGTCGTCGGCGTCGTTGTTATCTCGTCGTAGTCGTGGCAATCGTCGTCATGATGCTGGTCGTCCTCGACATCGTTGCCGTTGTCGTCATCGTCGTCGTCATCCTCGTCGCCGTCGTCGCCGTCGTCGTCGTCACCGTTATCTACGTCGGCGTCGCCGTCGTTTTCGGCGTCGTGCTCGTCGCCGTCGTCGTCGTCGTCGCCGACGTCGTCGTCATCGTCGTCGTCGTCGTCGTCGACGGCGTCGTCGTCGTCATTGTCGCCGTCGTCGTCGTTGTCGTCGTCGTCGTTGTCTTCGCCGCCGCCGTCGTCGCCGTCGCATTCGTCGCCGTCGTCGTCGTCGTTGCCGTCGTCGTCGTCGCCGTCGTCGTCGCTGCCCGTCGTCGTCGCCGTCGTCGTCGCCGTCGTCGCCGTCGTCGCCATCGTCTTCGTCGCCATCAACATCGTCGCCATCGTCGCCGTCGTCGTCGTCATCGTCGTCGACGTGGTCGACCACGGGGTTTTCTAGCACCGATGCTGAATTCAATCTCCCAGGAGTTGCAACATAGCTGCTGCAAACGATATCTGTGATAACGGAACGACCAGACGGGTGAAATTCGTCCGGGAACTGGCAGATATTGCGGCATGATGGATCCCACACGGCATTTGGAAATAGCAAGCGAGCAAAGGATGCCTTGAACCAAGGTATGCATGGGCCCCTTGTGTCTCCCGCCAATCCTTACAACCGAATCTGATTGCATCTCCAAAAACCATGCATCCACATTCGTCTATATACCAACTAACCTACCGTATATCTGTGTGTCGATGTGCTGCTTACTTACATGGCAGGTTTCTATGGTTACACGTGTTTACTCGAGTCGCCGCCCCCTAAGCACACATTGCGCATGGCAAAGCCCACGTATAAACAGCAAGGCATGTTTGCGAATGAATTTGCGCTTGCGGCACCAACTTTGATGACAATTATATTATGGAAACAACATGATGAGGACATGCACATCAATGCTACCACCAGCGAATCGAAATCAAACATATACCTATCGCAATCATTGCGCGTGGTGTCCTCGTCGAGATTGATGTTGCCGAGGGCGGTATCCTGGCGTCGCGCAGTCAACATCCAACAGTTCGCGTGAGCGGATACGATGCGCAATTGCAGACAGAGAGTGCACAGCAAGCAGTACAAAGCATAGAACAGAGTCTATGGAGATGCCATGCTGAAGGCACCCTGCACCAGCAAGCACTGGCACGTACAAGAAACATGAATGTGCCATCCTTCTGCGTGTGATTTGAAACGAGATGCATCGTTTGCCCTGGAAGACCGAGAATGCCGAAACACTTTGTGACCCATTTCTGTTGAAACCCTTCTCTTTCCTACGGAGATTCATAAGGCATCCCCTAGCCCCGCCGCAGTACCCGAGCCGCGGAGACGCTGTTAAGCTTCCGCCGCTGGCCGCGTCATGCCCGCCGCATCCGAGAAGGTGCGCGCTGTGAAGGAAGAAGCGACCCCGAGGCACCCACCGTCCATTACAGAGAGCTCCAGGCACCAACAGGGGACAAAGACAAGCTGCGCCAGCCACCCTGGAAACTACCGGGGGAAAGGAGTGCAGCCGCCTGCCTGAAGAGAGGGGCCGAAAACGACATCAACAGAAACCTTCGGAGGTCGCCGCGAGATTCTTGGACAGGGGACAAAAACAAGCTGCGCCAGCCACCCTGGAAACTACCGGGTGAAAGGAGTGCCGCCGCCTGCCTCCTCCTGCCTCCTCCTCCTCCGAGGGAGGAGGTGGAGCAGGAGGAGGTGGAGGAATTGGAGGAGGAGGAGGAGGAGGAGGAGGAGCAGGAGGAGGAGGGGGAGGAGGAGGAGGAGGAGGAGGGGCCAAACACGACATCAACCGAAACCTCCGGAGGTCGCCGCGAGATCATTGGATCGGCACCGGGCCCCCTCTCGGGCACGCGGGGCGCGCCAGGGGCGGCGCCCGAGGCGCCGCCAGGGGTGCCAGCGCAGACCCGAGCAATCCGCGCAGAACTGCGAAAAAGCTTCCCTTACGCAATATTACGTCAGGCGTATCCCCCTAGAGGGAAATGTTCGACGACAAATAAAAGATGCCCCACAAATAATTGAAAAATAATCCAACAATAGTCTGAGGACTATTTTCTAAAAATCTTGCTTGACCCTTTTGGAATAATTTCTGGTGTATTTTTAAGATTTCGTCGAGAGTCCCCCTGCAGGGGGACACGCCCGACTTAAACGTAGTACCGCTTGCTCGTCTTCTTCTTCTTCGGTGAAAGAAACCCGGCTGCCTGCCTGAAGAATCAGACTTGTTTCGAGCCGGAGCCATCCTGGCCGCTCACAGCTTCGACTCCAGCGCGCCGTGCCCGTCTCCGGGCGCGCCGCGGGCACCAAAACAGAAGCACCGAGCGGGGCGAGGCGCGCGCGCCCGGCGGAGCGCGGTCCTCGTTCCCGGTGACCTCCTTGATCTGCTCCAGGCGCCGCCTGATCTCCTGACGACCCACCAGGCCACCCCAAACCCAACCCGAAGGCCCGAATTTCGGGTTGGGGGGGGTAAGGGTTTTCGATGTTTCGACCCCCCCCCATGGAAATGTGTTTGCGATGCTTCGACGTTTCGATGTTTCCGAGTTTCCACATGTGTTTTTTCGATGTTTCCCGACCCCCCCCCCACCACTGGAAAAATCGAGGGTCAATCTGAGCCTTCGGGCTGGGCTGGGGGTGGTCTGGTGGGTGGTGCTCTCCTGCTTCTTCAGGTTCTTCAGGCGCTTCAGCTCCTCGGTGCGCCGGATCTTCTCCGACTCCTCCGGGGGCGCGCCGCGGGCCCGCCGCGGGCGGGGCGGCGGCGGCCGCGAGAGACCGGGCACAGGCCGCCCAGGCATGCGAGGCGTGTCTCGTGTCTGCCGTGCGGGGTCCCCAGAACTTTGTGGGCCCCGGAAACGGCAGGGCCGTTTTTTCACCGTTTCCAAAACAATGCCCATGGAACATGGAAGCGGCAAAAAAACGGCGACCGGAAACGGCAACAAAAACGGCTCCAGGATCGGAACTGGAGCCGGATCCGGTCAAAAAACGGCGACGGAACCGGTAAAAAAACGGCGTCGGAACCGGCAAAAAAACGGCAAAACGGAACCGGTAGCACAACGGCCCTGTCGTTTCCAGGGCCCGCTAAACCCCAGAAGTCCCCGTCCGCTCCCCGGGGCCGGCTCTCCATCCCGAGGCGTCTCGTCGTGACTGTTGTCCTTCGCGATGCGAGGGGGACTGGCGTGCGGGCCCATAGCTTTATTACAAGTCGGGCACGGCCCCCTACAGGCGGAGTTGGGAAGAAGAATAAGAAACAGTCACACATATGCAAAAACTGTCGAATAGTCGTAACATCGCCCACGGACTATATTTCCCAACTCTCCTTTGTTGGGAATTCGCTTTGAATGGAGCACTGCGGTCGCGTCCTCCTCCTCCTCCTCCCGCCTCCCGCCCCCCCTCCTTCTTGTCTCCTCTTGCCGTACCTGGGTGGACTGCGATCTGCGAAACTGTCGCCACTTTCGAGGGCTGCTGGTGGGTGCGGAGTGAAGCACCGCGCGGACTTGAGCGAGACCTCGCCGTCCCTGAGGGGCTACGATCTGCGAAACTGTCGCCACTTTCGAGGGCTGCTGGTGGGTCCAGCGGGGTGAGGCACCGCGCTGATCTGAGCGAGACCTCGCCGTCCCTGGGGGGCTGCGATCTGCGAAGCTGCGGCCACTTTCGAGGGCTCCGCGCGGACCTGAGCGAGACTTTGCCGTCCCTGGGGGGCTGCGATCTGCGGAATTGTCGCCACTTTCGAGGGCTGCTGGTGGGTCCAGCGGAGTGAGGCACTGCGCGGACCTTAGCGGGACCTCGCCGTCCCTGGGCGGCCATGTCATGTTGTTGCTGCCCCGCCGACGTTTCAAGCCCGTTGCCCACAGTCTCCTTTTGGACCTCGCGCCTTCCTTAGTGACTCAGGGGTTCACTTAGTTACTCATGGTTTTTCCCTTGATTGGGGACCTGCGACCCTTCCGAATGCCGCTCGCAGAAATACATGCGTCCATGTCACGTCACCGCCTTGTTGTCGAATCTCCCATGCTACTCCTGCCCCGCATTGCGCAGGGGTTGGGTACGTCGCCAGGGTAATTGTGCTATTTTCGAATATTTAGGGGTCCACATGCGAACCCTACCCCTACCCCCCACGATTTCTGAGGGGGAGGGTGGGGTTCACTTCGCTCGGGTGACCCGGGTCAATCCAGACCGGGTCAGCAGGAAACCAAAAACTGCAATGCAGAACAAAAAAACTGCAACGCAGGTCTTCGCAAACCCGGGTCAGCCAATAGGCGCGGCCGCCTCGCGGCCACGGGCGGCTCGCCAACCCGGGTCAGCCAAAGGGGGGCCTTCGCAGGATCCTGCAGGATCTGGCGCTCTGGCTGACCCCCTGTTTGCACTGACCCCCGTCTCTTAGGCCCCGATTTGTTTTCCCATACTTTTGGGGTTTTTGTCTTCCCCCCCGCACTTCCCATATTTTCCTATATTTTCGGGGGAATCGACGATTCATTGTGTCGGTGTGTTTTTTCCCTCTTGAAGAGACCAGGCCCGGCCTTCCGCAGCTCGGGAGCACCAGCGCGCCACGGCCCCGGCGGCGAAGGGCAGGCCCGGCAGGCTCTCCCCCCCCCCGTGGCGCCGGAGGTCCACTATATGCGCGTGAGGCTCGGTGCGCGCCCTCGGCGGTGCCCACCCTTCGGCAGTGGAGCCTGCGCGATAGGGGGCCACATGCGAACCCCACCCCTACCCCCCACGATTTCTGAGGGGGAAGGGTGGGGTTCACTTCGTTCGGGAGCTCCCGAGCGAAGTGAACCCCACCCTCCCCCTCAGAAATTGTGGGGGGCAGGGGTAGGGTTCGCCTGTGGCCCCCTACACCCTGGCGTGGAGCCTGCGCGACTCGCTCCGAGGGAGCCCCGGCGCGGGCCGAGCGTGGGTTGGGTCTGGACGCGACTTCATCTTCGGCGGTGGACAGACCTCCTTGAGTGAACCTCCCCTTCATGAAAACGGCCTGGGACCGAAACCGACGGACCCGGACCCGCAAAAATGACGGCCGCGACGCCCTCTCGCGAACCGAAAACGGCAAATTCCTTCATCGACGTGTCAGGGTAGGAGGTCTGTCCACCCCCGAACCCTGGCGTGGAGCCTGCGCGACTCGCTCCGAGGGAGCCCCGGCGCTGGCCGAGCGTGGGTTGGGTCTGGACGCGACTTCATCTGGATAGGAGTGGGCCCGGAGGTGTGAATGCGAACTCACGTGGCAGGCGAGCTTGAGTACGAGCCTGTCTACGCAGGAGTGGGGCCTGAACACGAAGAAGGAGCCCGGGTGTGAGCCAGCATGGACACGAAGAGCCTGGCCGCCAGCGTCTGAAAAGAAACGTGTCTGAGCGCGAATGGATCCTGGAACGGTTGGTCTCAGCATGGAGCAGTCTGGGTATGAGCGGCCGGCATCCATGAGTTTGCGCACGAGCAGATATGGATATGATTGAGTCTGACCTTGATCGTTAGATAGTGAATGGAGCTGCGCGTGCGTGGGGGCCGTTGAATTCCTTCCATGGAGCTTTGTGGGGAGGGATCCGCACTTTTGATCCAGGAGGTGGTAGGGTCCAGGGCCTTGACGCGAGAACGCAGGGCACCGTATCACAAAGGAAATCGGCGCACATCAGCGCAGCGCAAACCAGCTCAGGTACCACGCTGCACGGCGAACGTACGCAACTCATTGCAGGTACAACGGAAGCCCCACGGAGATGCCCCGAACGATCGACATTACACAAAGACGGGCCCAAACAAGAAGAACCCACGTGTCTTCCTCTGAAGCTAGGCCTAGTCCGAACAGTCGTGCCAGCTACAATATGAATGTGAACCGAAGTAACACCCACCCCCCAAACAAACAGCTGTTCACATTAGGGCATCGTAAACTCGGGCGACATCCCCCTCCTCCAACCTCCACGTCTTCCTCCTCGCAAGGCTCTGTAAAGCTGCGGAAGGCAGAATAAAAGCGGCAACAAGTGCAAAGCATCACGCCATGAACGGCAAATCAAGAGACGCATAAAAATCAGTGCGACGGGACGCAAAGCAAGACATGACATCGCACGACCAGCACGTACTCTGCCGGTGCACCATGCTCCCAAGAACGCTGCTCTTTCTAGGGGCTCTGCCTTGCCTCCTGCGCTTCTGGATGGCACTACTTCACTTTTCACACGCTGCCCACCTGTGGGCGCCTCGCGCGCGTTGACTTCGGGAGCGGCCAAGAGGGGGGTGTCCAAGAGGGGGGGGGTGCAAATCATGACCGGCGGCATGTGCGCGGCCCAGCGGGGGGGCCTGGGACGTAATGAAGCAAGAAGAGGCGCCATGAGATCTGGGGAAATCGCCATGATATCCCCCCCCCCCTAGTCGTCACCCCCCTCTCTTCCGCCCCCGAAGCAAGACATGACATCGCACGACCAGCACGTAGACTGCCGGTGCACCATGCGCCCAAGAACGGCTCTGCCTTGACTCCTGCGCTTCTGGATGGCAGTACTTCCTTTCTCACACGGTGCCCACCTGTGGGCGCCTCGCGCGCGTTGACTTCGGGAGCGGCCAAGAGGGGGGTGTCCAAGAGGGGGGGGTGCAAATCATGACCGGCGGCATGTGCGCGGCCCAGCGGGGGGGCCTGGGGCGTAATGAAACAAGAAGAGGCGCCATGAGATCCGAGGAAATCTCATGGCCCGCGCCATGATATCCCCCCCCCCTAGTCGTCACCCCCCTCTCTTCCGCCCCCGAAGCAAGACATGACATCGCACGACCAGCACGTAGACTGCCGGTGCACCATGCGCCCAAGAACGGCTCTGCCTTGACTCCTGCGCTTCTGGATGGCAGTACTTCCTTTCTCACACGGTGCCCACCTGTGGGCGCCTCGCGCGCGTTGACTACAGCTCCAGCACAAAACGTTCGGCCGGGGTGCCCGCTCGTGGGCGGCTCGTGGGCGCTCCACGGGCGCCGGGCTGGGAGTTCTCAGCCGTCGGCTGGGGCCCGCCCGTGGGCGCCGCGTGGGCGCTCCACGAGCTGGCGAGCAGGTCCCGCACCACATGGCCTGCACAGCACGCACCGTACCACGTAGCTTGCCACTCACACATCTACATCCCCACGCAGGTTGCGGCAACATGACCTGCGCGACATCGATTGTACCACCTACGCTGTCCAATACACGTGCTGCACCGCAACTATGGCGTATCGAGGGTGCAAGAACCGACTGTCTGCGGTCTACACACTTACCAGCATTATCTAAAGCGGGGGTGAACACGAAGGGCCAAGAGTATAACATTCATGCATGCGCAAAGGTTGGGCCCTGCAAAACCAAATTTGACGTTATGAATACTATACGCTGTGCGTATCTAATCGTACGCATCACTATGGCCTTGCTAGCCTTTCGTCGCTGGGGGTTCTATCACATGTCAGGGCACTCATAACTTCCTCGCGACGTGCGCCAGAATCGACGACGACATGACGCGAACAGCGCTGCAAACAACAAGGGCAGCACGATAAGACCACACACACACACACCTTCTCCAAAAACCTCAAAGGTAACGAAGGGTGTTACACATGATTCACGGACACACAATGTGCAAGCACATGGGAAACATCCCGACAATGCAAGATGCTTGGGCATGAGATGGCAAACATGGGGAGACGCATGCTTGTGGTTTGTGGCAGCGTCCTTGCGATCAGCTTTTGCAGCGCGCTGCCGCTTTCGCTTGTCAGGACGTTGCCGCACGGACGACTCTTGGAAGCGGGAATAGCTCTGGATCTGCTGCCCCTCCTCCACCTGTCGAGTCAAAACGCAGGGCCAGACCACCCACACAAAAAACGAAGACACGGTGGGGCGTGGCAGGGGCTAAGTGCTTGAACAAGGTGGCGGTACATCAGTGTCTACAAAGCGTTACAGTCAAATATTGCTAGTGCATATGTGATCTCTGGTGCAGAAGTATCGGCGCGGCAGCTGTTAGGGTGTAGACTGCAACGGCAGTAATCTGCGTCCATGGACACAAGGACAATGTGGACTGGCGGGCATGCGCATGCAACAGATACGTCAGCACAAATGGCTCAGATGTAGAGTGGGCGTTCCCCGGAACAATCCATCACTGGGCCGTCCTGCTGTTTCGCCTGCACTCCCGAGTTACCGTCGATAGCATCAAAACATATGGCCGATGGCGGCCGGCCTGACACTCCGATTTCGGCGGTGGACAAACCTCCCTTCAGTAAACCTCCCCTTAGGGAAAACGACCTGGGACCGAAACCAACGGACCTGGACCCGCAAAAATGACGGCCGCGACGCCCCCTCGCGAACCGAAAACGGCAAATTCCTTAATCGACGTGTCAGGGTAGGAGGTCTATCCACCTCCGACGATTGCCACCGCCCGCGTAGCTTCAACAAAAACACGCACCGAAAAATGAAGCCCCAGCTGCGGGCGCGCCTGCTGTCGGAACGGGAGCAGGCAGCTGGATTAGGAGCACCGCCAGGCAGGATGCACACGCGACGGGGCTGGGGCAGGGCCCGGCAGAGCCCGAGGAAGAGGACGGCGCCCACAACGAGGCCCAAGGAGAACTGGGAGGACGAGGAGGCGGAGGCGGAGGAAGAGGACAAGGAGGAGGAGGAGCCCCTGGGGGGGTACCTCGGCGCGTGGGCGGCATGTCGGGGCCCCTGGGGGAACTGAAAGCCGCCCCAAGTCGTCGTTCGCGGCGCGGCGGCCCCGGGGTGTCGGTGCCCTGGCGGACCTGGGGCGGTCCCCCCTTTCTCTTGCGGTGGTCCCGCTGTGGAAAGGGTCTGCCGTCTCAGGCCCGTCGGGGCCCTGGCCTCTCGGGCCGTGAGGGCGCTCGTCCCTTGTACGGTACCAGCCTGGGTCGGGGGCTGGCTCTGACCACTGTTGGGGCCTGCCCGTCACATTGCGGTGTCAGGTGTGGTCAGGGGGGTCGGCCCTTTCGGGCACGGCTCAGAGACGTGTACCGCCTGGCCCCCCTTGGGCAAGGGGGCCTGTGGGGGCGGGCCTGGACACCCATGACCTTCCCGCACCGCGTGCCCCGCGCAGTGGCCCGTTGGGGGTGTCCAGTGTCACCTGGTGCTGGAAGAGCCAGGTAGGCATGGAGGCCGCTTACCTTCGGTGAGTCGGTGCTGCACTTCGAGCAGCACGTGTGAGGCCAGCGCCTCTTTCCTTCTCCGTCTCTTCCTCCTCCTCTTCCTCCTCCCCTCTGCCCCGTCGGATGTCGGCGGCCTGCTCTCCCAGGCGCTGGTGGTGGGGCGTTTAGCCCCCTTTTCGGGTAGCTGTCCGGGGTAGGTCACACTGACCCGCTGTTCGGAATCTGTGTCTTTGGAGGAGGAGGAGGAGGACAAGGAGAAGAAGAAGAAGGGGGAGACAGATGAGGAGGAGGAGGAGGAGGAGGAGGAGGAGGAGGAGGAGGAGGACGAGCAGGAGGAGGAGGAGGAGGAGGCGGAGGAGGAGCAGGAGGAGGAGCAGGAGGAGGAGGAGGAGAGAGGGCACAACAAGCGTGAGGCAAGTGCGTGACCGTCCGCACGGCCAAATCGACGCGGGCGCGCCGCCCGCATACCACCATATATGCAAACCGCCCTGGTCCTCCTGCTTCGCTCCTCCATGAGCCCCGCCTTCGACTCCTCCTCCTCCTCCTCCTCCTCCTCCTCCTCCTCCACCTCCTTCACCTCCTCCTCCTTCTTTCTTCGAGCGTTTCCGCGGCTTCTCCCCCGCGGGCGCTGGCCGGCAGGCTTGCTCAGCGACTTGACTTTGTTCTGCCCTTTCTCCTCCCCCTCCTCCTCCACCTCCGTCTCCTCCTCCTCCTCCTCCTCCTCCTCCTCCTCCTCCTCCTCCTCTCTTCCTTCTCTGTCTCCCCCTCCTCCTCCTCCTCCTCTCCTCCTCCTCCTCCTCCTCCTCTCTCCTCCCTCCTCCTCCTTTCCTCCCCTTCCTCCTCATTCCTCCTCCTACTCCTCATCATTCCTCCTGATCCTCCTCCTCCTCCTCCTTCTCCTCCTTCTCCTCCTCATCCTCATTCCTCTCCTCTTGGACCATCCTTTTTTGAACTGCCCACTTGACAACTCTGACCTTACTTGCCGCATCTTGTCACCATCCTGTCCCGCACCATCCACCTCCCGCTCTTCAACAATTTCTCCTCACCGTCATCTCCTTCAATACTTCAGCAACATTGTCGTCCTACACCTCCTCCTCCTCCTCATCCTCCTTGCAAGAGGTTCACACACATCCTCATCCTTCTCTTCCCTCTCCTCCTCCTCCTCCTCCTCCTCCTCCTTCTCCTCCTCCTCCTCCTCCTCCTCCGCCTCCGCCTCCTCCTCCTCCCTCCTCTCCTCCTCCTCCTCCTCCTCCTCCTCCTCCCCCCTCCTCCTTCTCCTCCTCCTCCTCCTCCTCCTCCTCATCCTCGCACTCCTCCTTCTCCTCCTCCCCCACCCGTGGAACCACCTCGGTTCAGGACATGGAGCACAAAAAGGTTCCGAGGGAAGGCTTAGAGTGGTAGCGTATGGCTTCTCATCCTGAGATTATGCTTGCCTGTTCTGGGGCTGCAAGCGGCCCCCTCAGAGCGAAAAGGGCGAAAAACTGTGTCTGGATGTTTCCCAGGCGTTGGAGGCGTGGGTGCTGCTGCTTCTACTGCTCTTCCTCCACCTCCTCCTCCCCCTCCTGCCGCTGGTCCTCCCTCCACCCCGCGCTGACAACGCAGGCCCGCCTCGAAGCGGAAGTTGTACTCCTTCTCGAACTCGTCCGCATCTTCGAGGTGCTCCTCCTCGTCCTCCCGACCACACTTACTTTCCCCCTCGACGCTCGCAGACCGATGCCTCCGGGCGGCTCTCTCTCCCAGACTGCGCTGGCAGGGTTTTTCGCGCCGCGTGGTCACCGACCAGTTGACAGCTCTGGCTCCCGCCGCGTGCCCGCTCCTGGCCATCGCTCGGACGTCCATTTCCTGTATTTGTTTCGGTTTCCTGCATGGCTTTTCCGCCAAATCATCAAGGATACTCCTCGATGGTCCTCGCCGAAGGGAAAATGCACACGCCCGAGCAACGCCAAGGCCCCGTGCGCCGGGCGGGCGCCCCGGCATTCCGCGCCTCGTGCCCGCCTGTGGCCGCCGCGCGTCCCCGCCCCGTGCGCCGACGCTGGCATTCCCGGGTATCTGCTTGCTTCCGGCGCCTGGGCGTGCCCGCCTCGGCCCCAGGCGGCCCCAGCATCGAATCGATGAGTCGGAGGGCACCAACTATACACCAACACCGATCCTGGCCAGGACCACCCTGGGCCCAGGATCGGTGTATACGCCCTCCTGCCTGGGGCAGGGAGGCATATACACCAATCCTGGGCGCAGGAGTGGCCTGGCCAAGATCGGTGAGGTGTATAGTTGGTGCCCTCCGAATGAGCCGGATCGGGTCGACCCGGAGCATCGAATCGGCAGAGATCGGCAAAAAAGCCGGCAGCCAAATCGCCCGGGGCGGGGACGGTCCCCGCCCCGGGCGCCTGCACCGCACAGTTTCCACCACATGGCGTGCCCCGCACGGCTCACACTGCACCCCGCAGGTTCCCACCTGGACAGAATACAGTCGGGGCGTTGACCTCAGGAACCCTAAATAATGAACGGGGCCCCCTTCTCCCATACGTTGAACTTCGACTTCCCATGGAAAACCTCAGGAGAACAGAGGGCAAACTATGGAACAGTCAAGGAACACCGAGACCCTCCCCAACGAAAAGGGTTCCTTCTGCAGGGCCCCGGCTGTAGTGCGATCCCCCCGGTCCCCCCCCCTCCTTCCGAGCCTTGACGTGTCTGGCCCCCCTGGGACTCCGCAGCTTACACATGATCCGTCTCATCGCTCATCTTCCGCATGAAAGCGCATCATCCCAGCATGGCAGGCATCGCCCCCGTCACCCCTGTCAAATGGAGCAGCGCGGGCACAGTCGTTCATGCCAGAAGATCGTTCCCCAATAAGTGGTTGCCCTGACGGGGTCCTAGCAGATGGCTCCCAATCATTACTTGTACTGAAGGTGTCCTGGTGGATGTCGAAAGATTTGGCAAACATTTCGGGCCGATTTCGGTAGGCCTCCGGGTTCCGGGTTCCCAACTGTGGGTTCCCAACTTCCCAGTTGCTGGTTCCGGGCCCATTTCGTTGGCGGCGGGGGTCCTGGGTTGCTGGGTTCCTGGTCGATCTCCTTATCGATCGGTCTCACTATCGATCTCACTACCCACCTCGTTATCGATCTCACTACCGATCTCACCATCGATCTCACAATCGATCGCACGATCGATCTCACAATCGATCTCACTATAGATCGCACGAACGATCTCACAATATATATATATATATATATATGTATATATCTATATGACTGAATCGACTTGACTATCGGTTTCTCGATACATCTTACTATCGTCCTCACGATCGTCCTCACGATCGATCTGACAATTTGGAAACAAGTGGCACGGGTGCCATGGCTTGGCACAAAACGGAGGGGGAAGGAGGAGGAGGAGGAAGAGGAGGAGGAGTAGGAGGAAGAGGAAGAGGAGAGTGCGGAGGAAAGAGGGGAAGAGAGGGGACGAGAAATCGGAGAAGTCTCGGGGGAGCGGGACGGCGGGGGCGATGCCACGCAGAAATAAAATGGCAGAAGCGGAGGGGGGGCGGGGTGCACTGGCCGTGCGACGCGGAAGAAAACGTTCGTGGCGGAGGGCGCCGTGGGCGGGGCTCCTACTGGAGCGCTGGGGACGCGGGGGGGAACGGGGCGACTAAGCTGGGCTCCCGCTGGGGCGCTGGGGACGCGGGGGGGCTCGGGGCACAGAGCCACGGCGCGGGGGTCCCACTCTGGCGCTGCCGACGCGGGGAGGGGGGTGCGACGCGGAATAAAACGTTCGTGGCGGAGGGGGCAGTGGGACGAGCTCTCGCTGGGGCGTTGGGGACGCGGGGGGGCTCGGGGCAGAGAGCCACGGCGCGGGGGTCCCACTCTGGCGCTGGGGCCGGGGGGGGCAGGGGGGAGGTGGTGGGCGTGGCTCCCGCTGGGGCGCTGGGGACGCGGGGGGGCTCGGGGCAGAGAGCCACGGCGCGGGGGTCCCACTCTGGCGCTGGGGACGCGGGAGGGGGGTGCGACGCGGAATAATGTGGTCGGAGCTCTAGACACCCTGCGCAAGATAATAAAATCCACTGATACGGTTTTTCGATGGTGTAATTGAAAAAGTTTGCGAACATTTCGGGCCGATTTCGGTGGGCGGCCGCGTACCTGCTTCCCGGTTCCAGGTTCCTGGGTGCCCGGTTGCCGGTTCTGGGCCGACTTCGTGGGGCTGCGGGGGTCATGCGTTGCTGGGTTCCTGTTCGATCTCCTGATTGATCGGTCTCACCATCGATCTCACGACCCACCTCTCTATCGATTTCACCATCGATCTCACAATCGACAGCACGATCGATCTCACAATCGGTCCCATCATAGATTGACCGAGCGATCGCACGATCGATCTCGCTATCGGTATTACTGATTCAACTGCACTATTGGTTTCACGATCGCCGTGGCTCTCCTAGCCACTACCAATCGCACTTTCGACCTCACGATCGATAACACAATCGATATCACTATCTCTTTTGGTGGTTTGGTCTACACACATTCAAACATTAAATCAACTGATCGTTATTTCTCTGGTGTAATTGTTTAAGACCCCCTTGTAGAAAATGACAATGAAGTCCACACGCGCGGGCACATGTCGACATCATACCAAACACGGTTACTTCGAAAACGCTTCAGCAACACAACATCAATAACCATTTGTTGTCCCGACCCTCCTGCGTTGGGTTCTCGCTTTGACAGAGCACTGAGATCCCACACTTTTCCTCCTGCCTCCCTCCTCCTCTCTCCCACCCGCCTGTTGCCTGGCAACCTCGCCATCCCTGGGGGGGCTACGAACTGCGAGACTGAAACCACTTCCGAGGGCTGCTGGGGCAGCGGAGAGCGGCAGGGAGCCACGACGACCTGCATGGTGACAAGCACCAGGGGGCACCACGGAGCGGCAGGGAGCGACTACGACGACGACGACGACGAACCTCGCCATCCCTGGGGGGGCTACGAACTGCGAGACTGAAGCCACTTTCGAGGGCTGCTGGGGCAGCAGGAAAGCGGCAGGGAGCGACGACGACCTTCAGGGTGACAAGCACCAGGGGGCACCACGGAGCGGCAGGGAGCGACTACGACGACGACGACGACGACGACGACGACGACGACGACGACGACGACGCCGACAGGCAGGACACCGACCTCATTGCGAGATTACCGGAAAGGTCGATCCGCTGCCGCCCCCCCCGAGAGGCCCGGACGATCAGCGTCTGCATCCGCGGGCAGCGCAGGACAGCAGCAACCCCGACCGGGCGCCCAGCCTGTTGCTCCTCCTCGCTCTCCTGCGCTCCTGCTCCTGCTCCTGCTCCTGCTCCTGCCCCTGCTCCTCCTCCTCCTCCTCCTCCTCCTCCTCCTCCTCCTGCTCCTCCCCCTCGTCCACCTCCTACTCCTCCCTCCTCCTCCTCCTCCTCCTCCTCCCTCCCTCCCTCCCTCCCTCCCTCCCTCCCTCCTTCCCTCCCTCATTCCTCCATCCTTTATCCTCCATCCTCCATCCTCCATCCCCCATCCTCCTCCTCCTCCTCCTCCTCTCCTCTTTCCTCCTCCTCCTCCTGCTCCTCTCCTCACTCTTCTACTCGACCTGCTGGTGCTGCTGCTGCTGCTCGAATCCTCCTCCCTCCTCCTCCTCCTCCTGCTTCTCCTCCTCCTCCTCCTCTTCCTCCTCCTCCTCCTTCTCCTCCTCCTCCTCCTCCTCCTCCTCCTCCTCCTCATCCTCGTCCTCCTTCCCAGCGCCCTCGCCCTCCCCCCCCTCGCGAGAGTGCAAAATAAGCACCATCGCGAGGCAGGGGGGAAGGCTCCTCAGAAGGAGGCTGCTTCTCAGAAGGCGCTGGCCTCACATCTATAGACAAGGCCCTCGCCTTCCTTCTAAGAAGCAGGGGTGCTTCTAAGAAGCCCTACCCCCTCCCATACACCCCCGGCGCGTGGCTGACACTCCCTCTCGGCCCCAGATGTAAGTCGGTCCTGTCCCCCTACACGGGGATTTTCGACGAACAACAAAAATAATCCCGGCAAAGCAACCTAACAGCGATGTGTATAAGCATATTTGTCAGCCTCAGCCTGCCTCAGCCTCAGCCTCAGCCTGCCTCAGCCTCAGCCTGCATTAGCCTCAGCCTCAGCCTGCCTAGCCGCAGCTTGCCTCAGCCTCAGCCACAGCCTCAGCCTCAGCCTGCCTCAGCTTCAACCTCAGCCTCAGCCTGCCTCGGCTTGCCTCAGCCTCAGCCTCAGCCTGCCTCGGCCTCAGCCTCAGCCTCAGCCTGCCTCAGCCTCAGCCTCAGCCTGTCAGCCTCAGCCTGCATCAGCCTCAGCCTCAGCCTGCCTCAGCCTCAGTCTCAGCCTGCGTCAGCCTCAGCCTGCCTCAGCCTCAGTCTCAGCCTGCCTCGGCCTCAGCCTGCGTCAGCCTCAGCCTCAGCCTGCCTCAGCCTCAGCCTGCCTCAACCTCAGCCTCAGCCTGCCTCGGCGTGCCGCAGCCTCAGCCTCAGCCTGCCTCTGCCTCAGCCTGCCTCGTCCTCAGCCTGCCTCAGCTCGGGCATTCAAAATATGGTACAGGACTGGTGTTCTGGGAACACGAAGATCACGCAGTGGCCCACAGTTGGCTCTGGGCAATCAAAATATGGTACAGGAATGCTGTTCTGGGAGCACGAAGAACACGAAGTGGCCTACAGTTGGCTCCGGGCATTCAAAATCTGGCCTGGGAATGGTGTTCTGGGAACACGAAGAACACGAAGTGGCCTACAGTTGGCTCTGGGCATTCAAAATGTGGCGTGGGAATGGTGTTCCGGGAAGACGAAGAACACGAAGTGGCCTACAGCTGGCTCTGGGCATTCAAAATGTGGCCTGGAAATGGTGTTCTGGGAACACGAAGACCACGAAGTGGCCTACAGCTGGCTCCAGGCATTCAAAATGTGGCCTGGGAATGGTGTTCTGGGGAGTGCCCGGATCCCCCGGATTCCCCCAGAGTCCCGTGGCATCCGCCCAGACCCCCCTGAGGAGTCAAGATGCTCTCTTTTGAGCCCACTAGAAGCCTATCAGTCTTCGCTGTTAGGTAAAAATAATCCCAAAATGCCCCAGACAGGTCAAACAATATTCAAAAAATAATATACTATTTTGAAACTATTTTTGTCACTATTTTTGGGGTACCTTTTATTTGTCGTCGAAAACCCACTTTAGGGGGATACGCCCGACTTAACCCCAGACCCCAGACGTCATGATTCTTTTTCGTGCCCTCGGCCCCCCAGGCCCAAGGCCTGGCCCATTCCCGGTCCCAGCTCGTCCTGAGCCGCTCTCGGACGGCCCCGAAGCCCAAGAAGGGCCCCCGGAGGCCGGCAGTGGAGGGGCACCTCCGGCCATGATGTGTCGTTCCACGACCTGAGGGGGGTCTGGGCTTAGGTCGCGCATGTCCTCCTGCAGGCGGATGTTGGAAGCACAATATAAAAAGGAGTCATAGTCGAAAATCCTGCGAATGGTCAAAACAGATTCGAAAATAAACGAAACTCTCGTTCCCAGACTAATTATGCTTTACCATTCTGGAAAAATCCCCTTGTACATGGACAAGCCCAACTGAAGTCAGGGCCCCTCCCCCCCCGCCCCCCTCTGTGCGTGGCTAACACCCCCCCTCTCAACGGGGCCTCCCCGCTCCCTTTGCCGAGCCTCAGGGATCTACAATACTGACCCGGGTCCATAAACGCCCGGGTCAGTCAGGCCTTGCAGAACTCCGCAAGATCCTGCAGAGTCCGGCACCCAAGCTGGGGTCAGTGCAGCCCTGGCCCTGCAGGACCCTGCAAGATGCGGCGCTCTGACGGATCCCCCTCACATGGGCCCCCGTCTCTTGAGCCACGCGATGTGTGCGCTCTCGCCGCTCCTGGCGTCCGCAAGCCCAAGATGACGTCGTGAGATGCCCCCCAGCCCCGACGAGCCCAAGACGGCCCAAGCGGCCCCCAAGGAGGGCCTGGAGCCGGCCCGAAAGGAGCCCGAGACGGCAAACACAACCGCCACGGGGCCCCAAAAGGGGCCAAAGGGAGGCCTGAGATGAGATCGGCCATGTCCTCCTACAGGCGGATTTTGGAAGAGCTCCCTACCCTGACCCCCGACGTTATGATTTTTGTCACAATGTCGACCCCCAGAGGGCTGGACCCCTTCCCTGGGACCGGTCTTTCGTCCTGAGTCCTGTTCTGACGGTCTGGAGGCCCAGTGAGGGCCCCTATAGATGCTGAAAGTACCGAAGAACCTCCCGTCGTGAGCTTTTCACGGCGCGAGGAGGTCTGGGTCCTATAGGCGGATCTTGGAAGAGCTCCCTACAGGCATGTCCTCCTACAGGATCGGGGATGGACAGACCCCCCTTTAGTAAAACGTGGTTCAGTGAAAACGACCTGAGGCCCAAACCTAGCGGGCGCAAGCCTGGAAAATAACGGCCGCGGCGCCCTCTCGAGAACCGAGAATCGACAATTCACTAATCGACGTGTCACTGTTGGGGGTTCTGCCCGCCCCCGACAGGAGCCGCTCCCGAGCTCCGTCGCCGGCGCATGATGGGGAGGGGTCATCCGTGGGGCCGGGCGGCCGGCGCCTCCGGGGGGGGCGGGCGGGACCGAGCGCTGCGCACAGGCAGGGGCTGTGCGATAGGCGCGGCCTGGGCCGGTGGATGGGGACGCCTAGACTGTGGGAGGACATGCTAGGGGGCCACATGCGAACCCTACCCCTACCCCACACGATTTCTGAGGGGGAGGGTGGGGTTCACTGCGCTCGGGAGCTCCCGAACGAAGTGAACCCCACCCTCCCCCTCAGAAATCGTGTGGGGTAGGGGTAGGGTTCGCATGTGGCCCCCTAGCATGTCCTCCCACATGCGGATTTCGGGCGAACAATTAACAGAATGTCAAACATGCTCAAGACTAGAAAAAATCGTCCCCAGGCTTTTTCGTGACTGTTTCCCTCCTGTAGAGGGACGTGCCCGACTCACGCCTAGACCTCCTCGCGTTGTTCAAAAAGAATCACGACGGGAGGGGGTTCGCTATTTTTCGGCCTCTGGGGGCTCTCGCCGGGCCTCGGGCCCGGTAAAAAACGACGCAGGACGAGACACGGGTCCCGGGAAAGGGGTCCAGACCTCTGGGGGTCGACGCTGTGTTATATATATATATATATATATAAAAAGCGTCGGGGGTGTGGGCGGGAAAGGGCAGGGAGGTGGTGCCCACTCGAGCCATGGAAAAAATCATGAAGTGAGACTCTCCTCCACTTTCGGCCTCCAGGGGCCTGGGCATCGGGGCCGTCAGAAAACGACTCAGGGGGAGAAACCGGTCGCCTCGGGTCATGAAAGAATTGGCACCCAGGCCCCCTCGGGTCATGAGAAACCCGTCCCCTCAGGGATGGGCAGGAATTGGTACCCAGGCGCCCTCCGGGTCATGAAAAAATCATGATGGGCATAAACGGTGCGGCTTGTGTGTGACCGGCGATGCGATGACACTACCCAATGTTTCTCTGAAGTGTAGCGGCACCCCCACGTACGCCGGCAGCTCGGCCGACTTGAAGGACGTCTGCTTGCTGCAGCTGCAGCTCCGTTCGGCAAGAAACGTGGAAGTGCCTGGCAATAGCTGGGGCCATCGAGGCTACGGACAAGCGGGGGGAGATTCTCCCACAAATCTGGCCTCCGGGGGCCCATACCGGGCATCGGGGCCGCCAAAGAACTACGGTGGAGGCATTGGATAAGGACACCTTCGATAAGGAATCCAGGGTCTGGAAGCCAGTGGAGAGCCTATCGTGGATTGGCCATGGATATCACCGCCGCCCTCATCAGGAACCTTCCAGGGTCTGAAGCCTCCTGGGCACGTTCCTTAACGAACGTCCCCACCGTACTCAGGATGAGAAGCCCGTCCCGCGGAACGAGTCGAGACATCTGGGGGTCGAGGTTATGAAAAAGAAGCATGGCGTCGGGGGTCTTGCAAAGGCATCGGGCTGCGCACAGTTATGTGGCAACTCATGGGAGCCTCCCATACCATCTTGTCGGCTCTTGCGAATCGACGCTGAATCGACGCTACTCGACGCTAAATCGACGCTGATCGACGCCAGACGACGCTACACCGGCGATATAGCATCCACTCACGGACGCGAATCGACGCCCAAAACACAATCACGAGGGTGCACGAGGCTCCCATCCTGTGCTGCCGAAGCACGTAGGAGTCCCCCCAGATATCAGGAGCGGCCAAGAGGGGGGTGTCCAAGAGGGGGGGGTGCAAATCATGACCGGCGGCATGTGCGCGGCCCAGCGGGGGGGCCAGGGACGTAACGAAACAAGAAGAGGCGCCATGAAATCTTGGGAAATATCATGGCCCGCGCCATGATATCCACCCCCCCTAGTCATCACCCCCCTCTTTGCCGCCCCGAAGATAGGCCCAGCTGGCCTCACCAGGCCACCCGAGCAGCCCAGGGCGGGCTCGGCGCCCCGACCCCGCCGCCGAGAGGCGCGCCCCTGGGGCGGGGCGTGCGGAGGCCGCCCCAGACTTCTCAGGGAGCCTGTGGAGGCCGGCCGGCACTATCTGGGGGCCTGCTGTGCGCAGTGTACAGAGGGGAACAAAAAGTGACATAAGCTTAAAAACTCGGAGGTCCGCGCGGACTTCTCGGATCGGCACTGGGGCCCCCAGGCGGCGCCTCCGGCGCCGCCCCTGGCGCGCTCCGCGCGCCAGGGAGGGGTGTCCAGCGCCGATCCGAGAAATCCGCGCGGACCTCCGAGATTTCATGTTTATGTTACTTTTTGTTCCCCTCTGTATCACCAGGAGTCGGAGGGAAGAGGAGCCAGGCTCGCGTCCTCGCTGCCGTGGTCTTTCGCGCCCGCGCGGGAAGACGACGCCTGGGACCAGGCGCTGCATCGCGACGTTGCGCGAGGACGGGGTGAAGAGGCAACACGGAAGGGAAGTCTCGTAGCCAGAGACACGGCGACAGACACACGCATACACACGCCAAGTAGAGGCAACAGGCTGCCAAAGAAAAGTCCAAGACTCAGAATGAACAGATGAATCCCGAAGAATCAGGGCTGAAGCCATGCAGGCGCGACAAGGAGAGGTAATTACGATGTTCTGTCAAAGGCCAGCTGCCAGGGTACATGGGGACTGATCAAATGGAGGCGCGGGAATGTGTCCTCCAGCGAGGGAGGCCATACGTTTGTCTGTTGCACGTGGCACGTCTTGCCGTGCTACTATCTAAGGCTCCACCATGGCCTCGCTCCAACGAAAGGGACCCTGTTGGTGGAATGTCACACGGTCCCATGTCCACAACAGCGCTCGGACATCGGACTAACAAATCCCAACATTAATCGCGACAAGAATCCGCCGACCCCCGTTTGCCGGGGTGAAAGCGCGTGCGACATGAATGGCTGTCCCCTCCCAGGTTCTGCCTTTTCTGGGGTCTAAAATCCAGTACCCTGCGTGGCCGCCAAGAGTCCCTAAATGTTTCTTAATGGTCGTTCCAAAAGGAACCCAACATGTTGGACAGGCCGCGAGAAAAGCCAATTTGACCCCAAGACGGCCCAAGAAGCCGAAAGAGGGCCCAAGAGGACCCCCAAAAGTGCCCGACTTCATGTCCAATTGGTTTTTGAATCATTTTCTGGGCTATACTGACCTGGGTCAATCCAATCGAACTTCAATCGGGCGTTGCGAGATCCAGCAAAATCCCGCAAGATTCTGCACTCAAGCCCTGGTCAGCGCACCCCTGGCTTTGCAGGATTCTGCAAAATCAGGCGCTCGCCACCCGTCTCCTGAGCCTCGAGATTCGTGCGCTCTCGCCTTCCCGGGCGCCCGCGGGCCCAAAACGGCGCGAGAGGCCCCCCAGTCCAGACAGGCCGGGAACCGGCCGCCGCCGGCCATTGAGCCCAAGACGGCAAACAACCGCAACAAGAAAGGCCTAATATTAGGCCGGCCTTGTCCTCCTACAGGCGGATTCTAGAAAGAAAAATGAGACATAGTCAGATTAGCCTGGCAAAGGACCCAACCATATGCAGCTGTGGGCACCGCAAGCGTGAATATCCTCTTCGGTTTTTCGGGGGCGGCCAGGAGGGGGGTGTCCAAGAATGGGGGGGTGCAAATCATGACCGGCGGCACGTGCGCGGCCCAGCGGGGGGGCCAGGGACGTAACGAAATAAGAAAAAGCGCCATGAAATCTGGGGAAATATCATGGCCCCCGCCATGATATATGATATCCCCCCCCCCTAGTCATCCCCCCCCTCTTCTCCGCCCCCGAGCGTAGGGAGGTGGGGCGCGCGAGACGTGAGGGTGTGCCAGGTTGGGATGGCGGCGGCGCGCGGGCGCCGCCACTGGGGCACTGGGCGGAGCTCCCTACAGGGCCTTCGGCGCGGCTTCCTCTGTTCGCGATATATATATATATATATGTATAATCGATGGGGCGGGGTAAATAGAAAAGCTGGACTCCTGGACCGTCCTGGATGGGATTCCTCTTTTTTGACGAGCGAACAACTCACACCCATACCCATAGGAGGGTCGAAAGAAGGGGAACTGGCTATGGGTATGGGTGCGAGTTGTCGGACCCTGAGGGAAGCTCCCATTCGAGCGGGGACCCCCATCCGACAACACGCACCCATAGCCTCCTCCGTCCCCCCTATGGGTATGGGTGCGTGTTGTTCGATCGTCATTTTTGTTTTCCCTCTTTGCCCGCGCGCTCCTATGTCCCAGGCTGCGCGCACAGCGCAGCGCGGAGTCCCCGCGACGCGCGCCGGTCGCCCCGAAGGGGTCCCAGCGACGCGCGCGAGTCGACGGCTGCGCGGAGCAAGGAAAGCTTGCTGGCTGGTTGGTGGCGGGCAAGGCTCTGGCCGACGGGCAGAGAGACGACTGGCGAGCGAGGCGCTGGGCTGACCGTAGCACGGAGTTCCCGCAACGCGTCCCAGCGACGCGCGCAGTTGTAAGGGGCGTGCCGAGACGGGTGCGGGTACGCCATGTGGACCCTGCCGTTGGGGCCCTCGGTGGAGCTCACTATGGGGCCACGAAGCGTGTGAGGGGTGTGCCGGATCCGGCGCGGGTACGCCATCTGGACCCTGCCGTTAGGGCCTCCGGTGGAGCTCATTATGGAGCCACAAAACGTGTGAGGGGTGTGCCGAATCGGGCGCGTATGTGAACCCTGCCCCTGGGGCCTTCGACGGAACTTCCTATGGGGCCACGAAACGTATGAGGGGCGTGCCGGATCAGGTGCGGGCACGCCATGTGGACCTGCTGTCGGGGCCTCCGGTGGAGCTCTCGGCCACGAAACGTATGTTGGGCCTCTGGTGGAGCTCCCTATGGGACCGCAAGACGTCTGAGGGGTGTGCCGAAACGGGCGCGGGTACGCCGTGTGGACCCTGCCGCTGGGGCCTTCGATGGAGCTCCCTATGGGACCGCGAGACGTGTCAGGGGTGTGCCGGATCGGGTGCGGGTTCGCCATGTGGACCCTGCCGTTGGGGCCTTCGGTGGGGCTCCCTATGGGGCCACGAAACGTATGAGGGGCGTGCCGAATCGGGTGCGAGCACGCCATGTGGACCCTGCCATTGGGGCCTCCGGTGGAGCTCCCTATGGGGCCACGAAACGCGTGAGGGGTGCGTTGAGCGGGAGGAGGAGTAGGAGAGAGGAGGAACGCGGGAACCGTCTCTTCAAAACGAGGGCCAACACCACAGGATGGTAGAGAAAAAATCGGAAGTAGTCAAAATACCACGAAAGATCGTCACCATACTACGTTCTACTATTATTGAATGTTCGTGCTGTAGAGACACTTGCCCGAATTAAGCCTCAGAGGGGAACCCGCAGGGACCCTGGGAGCTCTCCCCCACAAGATGCCCTCCGAACGTCCAACATGTCCGCAAGAGGCCCCGAAGAAGCCCCGAAGAAGTCCCCAGCAAGGCCACAAAGCCCCGAGAGCCATGCAACTGCACCAGGAGGCGGGCCCCTGGGCATCTAAGGGGCCCCACGAAGCACCGCAACAGACGCGGCAACAACTACGCACAGGCAGCACGACGTGAAGTGACAAGCAACACACACACACACACGACATCGGACGTAGCGCATATCCTCTTTTAGGGGTCGGCCGCATGGCGTAAGCCAATTGAGTCAGAAAGGCCACGCGGTCAGGGAGACGCCAAAGTCGCAAGGCAAGCGCCGAGCCAATCTCGAAAGTATTCGCAGACCCGTGCATGTGCCAGGGACCTCCCAGAAAGCGGGCTGGGCTTTTTGAGATTGCTGAGGAAGCGCAGGGTCAGAAGGGCGGGCCTTGCAGTCATCGGCCTGACCTAAGGAACGATACATAAGGAACGAAGCCCGTTTTTTATCCCAAGGAATAACGCATGAGGAACGATAGATAATAAATGACGCATAAGGATCTGTGAGCAACGCATGCAAACCTAAGGAACGACCGAGCCCCTTTTCAAAAGTAAGTGTTCCTTATTCAAGCCGCTCACTGTGCTTCCAGACCTCCGACGCCTGGCTCGACAGGGCAAAGACGGCCATCTGCCACGAAGACCTGTCCCCGGGGAGTCGTTCTCGGACGCTGGGGCCTGGTCAAGGGTCTGGAGCCACCCTTGGATCCGCGTACTCCAGATTTCGTAATAAAGGGAGGGGGGTCTCATTTCGGGGGGGGGGGTCTCTTCCAGGCTATCTTGGAGGGCCTGGGGGGGTCTGGGGACGATGTTTTGGAGGGTTCTCCCACGGGGGAGGTCTGAAATGGCCTGTCTTGGAGGGTCCAGACCCCCTCCTTTTTATTACGAAATCTGGAGTACACACAGCACCGATCCCCTGACCTTCCAGAGCGCGTCCAGAAAGGTAGATCTATGTGGGCTGCTTGACGCCTCGACTTGCAGATAGACTCAACAAGGCCCTGGTGCTACTTTGAGCCATCATGGAAGGTCAAGGTCAGGACATCAGACGTCTGGGTTGAGGATCGGCGAAGCCGTCGCTCGGGATATCTGGCGGATCGCTCAGGGGTCACGAGGCAAATCCAACCTTCGCAAGATGAGAGCCAGCTAATGAGATCACAAGCCAATGACGAGGAGAAGGAATGACTGAGAAGTGAGAGGGCGGCGCTCGTATGGTGTGAGTGGGATGTTGGGGGGAAAGCGCAGGTCCGCATGAAGGAACCACATGACCACAACGCAAAGCCAGGGCATGCTGAGCAATCAACTGCCAATGAGAGGTTGTAGCACGTCGGGGTTGCATGTGCATGCGATGGGAGCCTGTATTGACGTAGTCTCCTTCCACTCCTCGTTGAGGATGAAATCGCGCAAGAAGCACTCGCTGTCATCCAAGTCTTCGTCAGCCTCTCTGGGGGGATCGCGCGCTCGCTAAAAAGGTATATTGCTTCCTGCGTGAATGCAATCAAATGGTCAAAACATGCTGCCGCACACAATGTGCTGCGCCACATCAGCAGTGACAGCATCATGGTCGCGCAAGTTGCTGCCAGCAACACCAAGGTTCGGTTGAGTGTGGCACATCGCCAATGTGAACGTCCTGCCCCGCAGGCGCAAGCAAATGTAACGTCTAGACAAGTAACCTGTCGCCACCGAAAAGAAGACCCCGAACAAACGAACTATCAACACCACATCATGACAACATCGGCAAGCGGGAACCTTCCAATATCTGGTCATGATATCGTCGGCGTCGCCTTTGCTGTCCTCCCCTCCCAGTCAAACGCGCAGGTTGCTCCCCGGTGGAATTGTGTTTGGTGCCCGAACGTCACTATGCCATGCCAACGAATCATGTTCGCACCTGCTCCGTGTTCCGGTCGCAGCCTGGACGACAGAAAGATTGCCTGGGCATCCTCGAGACGCAATTCTTGAAGGGGCCCTGGGACACACAAATAGATGCACACACAAATAACAGGATTCCCCAGATTTCCCAACATTTTCTGGGCTTCTGTCTTCCCCCCCACTTCCCATATGTTTCCAATATTTTCCTGGGAGTCGACGATTACTTGTGTCTGTGTGTTTTTTTCCCCTCCTGGATTATCTTGGCGCACTCGCTCGAGGCGCGATCACCTCGGCGCCCTCGCTCGGCCACCCTGAGGAAGGCCATCCCTGCGGCCCCGAGAGAAACACACACTGGGCGCTTTCGGGAACCCGGAAGCCAAAAACCTCCTCCTCCTCCTCCTCCTCCTCCTCCTCCTCCTCCTCCTCCTCCTCCCTCCTGCTCCCTTCCTCCTCCTCCTCCTCCTCCTCCTCCCCTCCTCCTCCTTCCTCCTCCTCCTCCTCCTGTTCCCCCTGCTCCTCTCCTCCTCCCTCCTCCTCCCTCCCCTCCTCCTCCCCCTCCTCCTCCTCCTCCTCCTCCTCCTCCTCCTCCTCCTCGTCCTCCTCGTCCTCTCCCTCCTCCTCCCTCCTCCCTGTCCCCCTGCTCCTCCTCCTGCTGCAGCACTGGACTCCGGGAGAACACAAGGAGCCCGCGGGCTCCCGCCGGCACGACGGGCCGACCAGCTCACACGGAGCCCCTCGGGCACGCAGCCGGGCGCCAGCGCGAGCGGCCCGTGCTCCGTTTTCGTAGTGAATGGAGGGGGGTCTCATTTCGGGGGGGGGTCTCTTCCAGGCTATCTTGGAGGGCCTGGGGGGTCTGGGGACGATGTTTTGGAGGGTTCTCCCACGGGGGAGGTCTGAAATGGCTTGTCTTGGAGGGTCCAGACCCCCTCTGCGTGGCTACGCGCGCCCTCTGCGTGGCTGCGACCATTTGTTAAAACCCTGAAGCCAATTAAATTCACTAATAAAGTAACCTTTCGCTTCCGCCGACCTTCCGCCGAGCCTCCGCCGGCGGAGGAGCGCCTCGAGGCGATCGGGCGCGCCAAGAGTCATCAGTGCTTGATCGACGACGACGCCAAAGGAGTTGCAACATTTCGAGCGCCATCCCTTTAAAGAGCATGGTGTGGCCGGCCCGAACCGACATTCCTCACCATGGCGCCATCGCTAGCCACGATGCGCTAGCCACGCTGACGCGCAGTGGAGTGACGGATCAGCCAGCTGGGTTTTCCACACGCGCGCTGCATTATTACTAGGAGTCCGATGAGGAAGCTGCACGGGATACGCCGCCCTTCGTCTGGCTCTTTTTTGCTTCACACGTGATCTTAGAGCTAAGAGAGATCCACATTTGAATTGCAATGCTTGTCAATGGGCCCCAAAGGGATCCTCAGTGGGATCGCGTGTGCCACACGTGTCGCAAATCTTGAATGTCGCGTTTAGGCCAAATGTGGATCGCATTTGGATGGCGTTTCGTCCGCTTCGGGTCCCCAAGCGATTATGTTCTGCTTCCGTTTCGACATAGGTTTAGGGTTTAGGGTTTAGGGTTTAGGGTTTAGGGCTTAGGGTTTAGGGTTTAGGGTTTAGGGTTTAGGGTTTAGGGTTTAGGGTTTAGGGTTACTTCAAACTACAGGTGATGCCCATGATCGGATCTGAATCGCCTCACGTTTGGCTGGCAAGTGATCGGCGTTGGTTCGCATTTGACGCACAAAGGAACTACCCAAAAAGAATCATACACTGCGTTGCTTAGACTTGCCACCGATCAACAAGTCGATTCTGGCGGCATGCAACTTCGACCCAGGCACGATCACCCAAACACCGGGGCGCTATCACGATACTATTAAATACACCACTGGGGGGCCGCCGGTACGCCAATGAGAGAAAAAGAAACGTGTCAGGGAAGCAATACTTTGTGACACTTTCAGCGCTGATTGCTGGGGGGACCCAGCAAAAACCCAAGCGGACAGTGCTTTTCGCTGCGGAGAGCGCTCGTCGAGCGCGCCAGTCACAGCAAACCAAGGCCCTACGTATGCGGTGAGGGACTCCCTGGGCTACATCAGCCAGGCCCAAGCGAGATCGACTCGCAAAATTTAAAGGGAGGCCCATGGACTAAATACACACAAACCCCAGGATTCCAAATCTCTTCTTATATTTTCTGGGTGTTCGTCTTTCCCCCCACTTCCCATAGTTTACCATCTGTGTCTGTGTATTTTTCCCCATCTTGAATCGACCAGGCCCGAGCGAGCTCGACTCGCAAACACCTGACAGGCTCGGGAACGGATCGGAGCACGCCTTAGGTCAGGCATGCCCCCCTACAGGCGGATTTTCTTGAGGTGGAGGGCTCAGGGTGAAATTCGTATGGGCTTTCGCACCTCGAAAATGAACCAGTCTTGCGATTCACCTTTTGCAGAGTCCAACATCGAAAATCAATCTAAACGGCATTTCATATTTCACCCTTTGCCCTCCTCCCAAAGAAAATGCTTGGATCGGAATCGAAGTCTGGGGATCTGATCGGACCGGACCGGACCGTGAGCAGCCCTGTCAAGCTCAAATCTGGCAAATCCCTTGGTGGCTGGCTTCCCCGCTAGGATGTCGAAGATCTGGTAAGCCGCATCGCTGCCCTGAATTTTCGTTTGCCGCCGTCCAGGGACCTTCCTTGAACGGATCAAGCTTTAGCACCCCCGTCTTGAAGCGTTCGTGGAGGCTCGGGGGGCAACAACTGAGTGGCGGGATGGTCCGCGAAGCCGCCATCAGGCCGTCTGGCCCACGAATCTTCCTGAACTGATCGCCTGCTCTTTACCCCGCCGAGGAAACTGCAGGAGGCTTCGCGTATGTCTTGTTCTCGCCACATGCTCTTCCTCCGACCTACTCTCCCCGTCTCATCTGCCTCCTCCTCGACCTCTCACATCCCCCCCAGCGCTCCCCGAGAAGACGTTGAGGAGGTAGAGGAAGGAATCTGAATAGAAACTAAGACGGATGAGAGATGATGTGCCTTCCCTCACCAGCACCGCCTCCGACTTACTGGAAAATGAACTGCCAAGCCGCCATCAATTCGCTCCGCCATGCGAGCCCTTCGGTCCGTCTTCATGCGCTTTGCGAAGGAGTCGAGCTCTGCCTGGTGCCACCCTTTCGTCTCACAGGTGCCCAGAGAAGGAGAGGGGGAGGAAGGACGTGCGCACGACAGGAACTAAAGAAAATTGGGGCATGAGTGCCGATGGCCATGTAGTGTCACACGTTGAGCACAACGTTCTCGACTGGGAATCACCTACAGCCCACGGGGCATTCCAGGAGTACAGAGGGCAAGTCGACCGCACACCCTGTCTGGGTGGCGAGTGTGCCTGCTGCGACACACGCGCACGTATGTAGTTGGTAAGGATTCGGGCCGCGCACGGATAGACCCCCCAGGTAGTCCCAGCTGGCCTCACAAGCCACCGTAGTAGCCCCAGCTGGACTCAACCGGCCCCACAAAGGGGGGGGGGGGGTTGAACCCCCCCCCTTCTCCAGCGCCAAGGGGGGAGGGGGGAGAAGGGTTGAACCCCCCCCCCCCTTCAAGGGGGGGAGGGGGGGGCGGGGTCCGAACGGCGGATCGGGGGAAAAGGGGGGGAGGGGGGGGGGTTCGAGAGCCCCTTCCCCCTCCACAACTAACGGGTAATCCACTGGCGCTCTTTCCACGAGTAGCCCAGCGCGGTCTCAACATCCCGGCGTCACCTCCCGCGGCGCCCCGGAGGCGCTCCGAGCCCGAGGGCTGAGGTGCTGACGCCGCCGGGGGCCACTGGGCAGTTTTTAATACATGGGATGTTTGAAAATATATGATTCTGAAAACGTGATGAACTTACGAATAAAGTTGTGCATGAACTCATCGTTGTTTTTAGTACTGAATCCCTGCATTCTTAATACATGATCCGCACGCGGAGCATGTATTAAAAACGGCACTGTACTGGGGGGGGGGGGCCTCTCGGGGCCAGCTGGGACTCCTCGGGGGGCCTGCTGAGGCCAGCTGAGGGGGGGCTGTCTGTGCGCAGCCCGAAATAAGGAACACGAGTTCAGGGAGGAAGCCCCTTGTTGCCCACACGAGCGCCTGCGTGGACGAGGAGCACGAGAGAAACAACCATGGAAGGACCTTCTTCCAAACTGCTCCATATTTCTGAACCCAAGCTGTTCCACATTTCAGCGTCTTGGTTGTACCAGCTGGAGCAGTGTGCAAACCACACGAAGTCAAGAATGGGCAAATAATGGCAACCAACCAGACAACGCAAGCAGCAAACTCCTGCCGTGACGACCCCAGGTCATCCGTTACCAAGAGAAGCAACGCTCTGGACGGAGCGGTGTCGACTGGAAATTCGACCACTGGTCATTAATTCCGGTCACGAGCGAACTGTCGACGGCCTTGAAAGCCTCGCTTGGACCCCGACGCGCCGTATCTTCGCTACCGAGATTCGCCCCCCTCCGGTCGCGAGGACGAAATCTGGCGAGCCCGAAGTCAAACATTTTCGATCACGGATGATCTGGGATGTCGGCTCCAGTGTCCGACTCCGCGAGAGCTGGTGAACCTAGAATTAAGTCGGGCATGTCATCCTGCAGATGGACCTTGTAAGAAAATTCATAGAAGATCAATGAAACACGTTCTCAAATAGTCAAGCATAATTGAGACATAATCCCCACTACCTGTTCACTGTTTCTGAATATTCCTCCTGTAGAGGGACATGCCCGACTTAAGGCTTGATTTGCCACCGACAGAGCCAGTCCTGTCGAAAAGTCATGGTGTCGGACGTCTGGTGCACTCTGGATGCCTCTGACGGCCTCCAGGGACTGACGGAGGTTGGGCGGCCCTCAAAGAAGGCAAGGTGAGTGGACCCCATCTCAGGTCTAACACTAAGACTGGGACAGACGAGAATAAATCCGTATACAGCTGTTCCGTCCCCCAAGGATCCGCCCAGCCCCCCAAAAGATCAGTCCCCAACAAGTGGCGGGCTCCTAACACCCTGAGCCAAGACCTTGCCATTTCTTGGGGGGCGGATGCTCACTTCCGCCGGCCTTCCGCGGGCTTCCGCCGTCGCAGGCGGCCTCGTTTTACATCCGCCGCCTGCCGCCGAGGAAGAGATGCTCGGACAAGGCTGGGACGAGGACAACTCCATCCCAGAGCGTTCCGGAACGCTCTCAGAGCGCTCCGGAACGCTCTGAGAAGGCCGCGGCACCCGATGCAACCTCCGCCACCGCTGGATCTCAGCGGTTCTCGATTTACCCTCGTCCGATGTTGCGTTCGCCCTGGCTTCGTCTAGAAGTGCCCCCGACTCTCAGGCCCAACACCCCCTGATGAAAACATCAGTTATGACATCTGCGGATTCATCTTCCGTGGAAGTTTTGGGCAACTTTGCGCCAGAAGCCAGGACCCACTGGGTCTCACCCCCTCCCTGTCTGGGCACTTGGACAGATCCCGCTCGGTACCGCAGGGGGCTCGGGCTGTTGTGACTCCGGAGCCTATATATCAGGAATCACCTAGGGCAACTATTTTCGCACTTCGCGCTCCGCGAAGCGCGATTCTCTTCGCGCTTTCGCGCCGCCCGCCTTTTCCCCCCCCCCCCCCCCCCCTCCCCCCCCCGGAACAGCATGAGGGACTCGCGCCGCGCTCTGAAATCGCCCAGACCGCAAAGCGCGAAGCGCGCCTAACTTCGCACCCTCGTGATGGTCCTACAAGACTCGTCAGAAGTAATTAAGACCCGGCGCTACTTCAATGCTGGCATGAGGCGTTCGGCCCACACGCAGGGGCGTCCGACATTCGGCAGTGCCCTCGCAACATTGAAGAACGCGTTCTCCGACAGGTGCCCGAACTATCGGGCGCTTCGATTTTGAACGGCGCTTCAAATTATTCCCAGCCGTCCTGAGGTGTTGGGTCCTCGTTTTGAAGAGACAGCGCCCCGCGTCTCACCTCCTCCCGCTGCCCCCTCCCTCCTCCCCCTCCTCCCTCCTCCCATCCGCCTCGCCATCGTCATCGTCATCATCATTGCCATCGTCATGATCCACATCATCATGATCATCACCATCGCCATTGTCAGCGCCGCGCCCCTCACACGGTTCGCGGCACCACCGCCGAAGGCCAAGTGGCAGCGGTTGCATATGTCACCGCCGCCCCATTCTGGCACATCCCTCACACTGTTCGTGGCGCCATAATTGGGAGCTCCACCGAAGGCCCCAGCGGGAGCGTCCGCATTGCACCGCCGCCCCAGTATGACACACCCCTCACACGGTTCGTGGCCCCATAAGGAGCTCCACCGAAGGCCCCAGCGGGAGCGTCCGCATGGCACCGCCGCCCCACTTCGGCGAACCCCTCACACGGTTCGTGGCCCCATAGGGAGCTCTACCGAAGGCCCCAGCGGGAACGTCCGCATGGCACCGCCGCTCCTTTTTGGCACACCCCTCACACGGTTCGTGGCCCCATAGGGAGCTCCGCCGAAGGCCCCAGCGGGAGCGTCCGCATGGCACCGCCACCCCATTTGGCATACCCCTCACACGGTTCGTGGCCGCATAGGGAGCTCCACCGAAGGCCCCAGCGGGAGCGTCCGCATGGCACCGCCGCCCCGATTTGGCACACCCCTTACACAAGTCGTAGCCTCATAAGGAGCTCATCCGAAGGCCCCAGCGGGAGCGTCCGCATGGCACCGCCGCCCCATTTTGGCACACCCCTGACACGGTTCGTGGCCCCATATGGGGCCCCACCGAAGGTCACAGCGGGAGCGTCCGCATGGCACCGCGCCCCCGTTTTGGCACACCCCTTACATGGTTCGTGGCCCCATAAGGAGCTCATCCGAAGGCCCCAGCGGGAGCGTCCGCATGGCAACGTCGCCTGAGTATGGCACAGTCCTCACACGGTTCATGGCCCCATGGGGAGCTCTGCCGAAGGCCCCAGCGGGAGCGTCCGCATGGTACCGCCGCCCCATCTGGCACGCCCCTCACACGGTTCGTGGCCGCATAGGGAGCTCCACCGAAGGCCCCAGCGGGAGCGTCCGCATTGCACTGCCGCCCCATTTGGGCACAACCCTCACACGGTTCATGGCCCCATCCTCCTAGGGAGCTCCGCCGAAGGCCCCAGCGGGAGCGTCCGCATGGCACCGCCGCCCGATGTCGGCACACCCATTACACGGTTCGTGGCCCCAGAGGGAGCTCCACCGAAGGCCCCAGCGGGAGCGTCCGCATGGCACCGCCGCCCCCATTTCGGCGCACCCCTCACACGGTTCGTGGCCGCAGAGGGGGCTCCACCGAAGGCCCCAGCGGGAGCGTCCGCATGGCACGGACCGCGCACGGGGCTCGGGCGAAACCAAAAAGACTCCCCGCTCGCCCGCGTCAGCTTTTCTCCCCGCATGCACGCCGCAATACTTTGTTGCTGCCCCCCTCCTTCGTCTCCTCTCCCTCGCTGTACTCGCAGCAGCAGAGGTTGGGCCCTTCGTCAGGCTAATGGTTGACGATGCTTGTCGGACCATCCATCGGGCATCACCTGGCCGAGTCCCCACCCGCCCCAGGCAGGCGAAGCCAAAGGTGTGTAAACTGTGGCAGCATAGGGCCCCTCCCCTCGGCCGCACTGGCAGCCAGCAAGCCCATCCATCGCGGCCTCCTCCTGCTCTTTCTCCTTTGGCGTCTTTACCTTGATGGTGAACAGGTCGTCGTCGGACTGAGCATCTTCATCAAGACCTGGCGCTCTGCCTTGCCCTCTGCGTGTTCCCAGACGGCACCCCTTCGAGACAGCACAGCACTCTGGACCGAGAGGACAGAAGCGCCCTCGACCCTCTTCCGCCCCATTCCTCAAAATAACCCCCCCGCGTCGCTCCAGCAGACGCGTCGGTAAGGCGGCCCCGGAGTTTCGCCTGAGGTCTCCTCATGACATTGCAGCTTGAGGCTTCCAATACTTACCAAGATGGAGGTCGGAACGATTTCAAAATGTGGTGTTCGCCTGAACGCCGCGCGCAGTGGTTTTAACGGCATCCAACAATTCGAAGGATGGAAGACAAAAGACAGCCCGCGTTCGACACGGGCTCTCGCCTTAGCGCCGCGCGCGTTCGTCTTGCAAGCTCCCAACCATTACAGCCAATTGAGGGCGAGTGGTTTTCCGCAAACAATGGCGCTCGCCTCAGCGCCGCGCGCGTTCGTTCCAACAGCTTCCAGCAATTACGAAGGTGGAGGTGACTCCTTTTCTCGTTCAGGCTACCGCGTGGAGTTTCCCCACAAACAGCGCCAAAACTGTAAACAGTTGCGAGGTCTCTGCTCAACACGGGACGCTCGCACGACAATTCATTGAGAACCATGGCCAGAAGAAAACATTTTGCAACATCCGCGGGCCTGTGGAGACTTCCGTGATCTCGAAGAAAACTGCGAACTGGGAGGATAAGGACGAGGAGGAGGAGAGGGCGGAGGAGAAATATCAGGAGGGCGAGGTGGAAGAGGTTCCAGGAGGAGGAACAGGATGACGGACGAGGGCGAAGGAGGAAGAGAGCGATCGAGACGGAGTCAGAGTAAATAAGGGGTGCGCCACCAATGCCGCAATCAATCCCCCCGCCCCAGGTCCCGTCATCATAAGTCCCAATATGCGCTTCATTTCACTACGGACAGCCCCGCTCCCGAAAGACGAATGCCCATGGCCCTGCAATTCAAGCGATCGCCCCGAGTTGAGAAGACACCGCCATGCACCTTGCTAGCCATCAAGGGCACCACCAGGTAGGAAAAGGAAATCCCAACTTATCCAGCGAGAACACGGTTTGGATAAAGAACACCTCTCCATCCGTGCAGCTGTTGCCGAACTTTCGCTTCCGTCTCACAAAGTTTGACAACGAACCAGACGAAAATCCCATGTTGAAAAGGAGCCGTCATCCTTCTCTGAAGCCGTTGCACATGGAGAGAGAAGTCCAGACAACCTGAATTATCACGCAGGAGCTTCATCTTGAAAACCAGTCGCCCTCCAACTTTGCAGCTGCTTGAAGCTTGCACGGCGATTGCGCGCGGCAGTTTTACGAAAGTCACAATGTGACCACCCTACATCATTCTAGCTGTTTGAAGACTCCAGAAAGAATGCGCGATTGTAACATATTGCGCACAGCTTGCCCTCGATCCGTCTGATTGGCCCCCAATGTCACAGCGAACGAACGCAGCGCTAAGGCGACACCCAAACTTGAAAACCAGCCGTTCCCAACCCTTCCCCGACATGGATAGCACAAAAAAATGCCAATGCGACCGGCCGCCCAACGGACACGTCTGGTGGTGCGACGAGAGGAGCGATTGATTGGGTAGGAAGAGGCATGCGGGAAAAGAAGGAAGAGGAGAAAGAGAGAGAGAGAGAGAGAGAGAAATAATTTGGAGGATGAGGACGGAGGCAAGGAAAACATAATGATTGCGGGGGGGCATGATCGCGGCGGAGCGGGAGAAGGTGGCGGCCACTTCGCTAGGGTAGGAAACTCTCACAATCTAGGAGACTGCGCGTGTCGAGGCGATCCCAGAAACGCTCGCGTGAGCCTGCGATCCACGGTAATTGGAAGGGGAGCGGAACAGAGATTCAGAGTGGAGGAGCAGAGCACAGGAAGCCCCCTCTTCCCCCAGCCTTGGCTCGTCCCACCTCGTCCTCCAGCCCCTCCCCCTCCCTCCTACTGTTCCTCGTCTTTCCTCGTGTTCACTTCCCTCCTCCTTTCCTTCACGTGGGCGTTTTCCTTCCCGTCTTCCCGCTTCGCGCCATCCTCCTCCAGCCTTTTCCCTGCTGCCTGCTCCCCTTTCATTCGACCGCATTGCCGCCACCGTCCGCGCGGCGCGGGCTCCCCTGGCAAACGCGGTCGATCTTGAAATAAACGGTATATCAGATCGAACCGGGACCCAGCGGTCTGCCAACGACTCAGCGCCCCCCGCACCTCGCCCATGGGACGGCCCATTGCGCGAGACATGCGAAGAGAGCGGTCTGCCAGCGACTCAGCGCCCCCCGCAGCTCGCCCATGGGACGGCCCATTGCGCGAAACATGCGAAGAGAGCGCTGGGCGCCCGCGGGGGGCTGCGCGCTCGTGTCTGGTGCCTCCGCCGAGCGCGATGGCACGGAGCAGGCGGGAAGGTCGGGGGTGCGCCCTGGCCCCGGCTTGCCGCGCAAGATCGCGGCTGACGGGAAACGCCGGGGTTTCCCCAGGCACCCCGTCAGGCCCGCGCTTTCTGCTTTCGTCCAGGCGAAACGTGCGGCCCACGTAAAATGCATCGCCCTGGGAGGGCACAAAGGTGGGCGGAACTACCCCTGGCCCCCAGGGCCGGCGTTCCCCCTTTGTTTTACCCGGGAGCCAACGCGCTTCGCATGGTGTCTGGCCCACCACTCACTGCTGGGGCAGGGCGAGAAACGGGACCAGGCCGGGGCCGGGGGAGGAAGCCCGGGGGGTGGCAAGGGCAGGGGGGGAGAGGGGAGGGGCAAGCCAGGTGCGCTCGCGTCATATCTGACGTCCTACCCCTCCCTCCCATCCATTACCATGGCGCTGATTTTCTCTATCCGCGGACGCGTGTCGTAGCGGACCTGTGGCTCCGCGCGCGCGTGCGTAGTGGGTGGTGGTGCACGTGCGTGCGTGCGTGCGTGTGTGCGTGGTTGTCGTGGTGGTGGTGGTGGTGGTGGTGGTGGTAGTGGTGGTGGTGGTGGTGGTGATGGTGGTGGTGGTGGGTGCTGGTGATGGTTGGTGGTGGTGGTGGTGGTGTGGTGCTGGTGCTGGTGGATGGTGGTGCTGGTGGTGGTGGTGGTGTTGGTTGGTGGTGGTGTTGGTGGTGGTGGTGGCGGTGCGGCGCGGTGGTGGCGGGCGGATGGGCGCGCGAGAAAAAGGCCCGCGCTGGGGCGAGAACGCCGTCCTGAACGACGGAGGCCAAACACCGATCCGAAAATGAGGCCCACGCTGCAGCGGGAGCACGATTCGGAACGATTCGGGAGCAGAAATGAAGCCGGCGCCTCAACGAGAGCAGCACTTTGGGAAAAAATGACGCCGGCGCCTCAGCGAGAGTCGTTTCCCGGGATTTCCCGGGCATCCTGTGTGTAAAAAAACAATACGCGGAGGGTGCGCGGCTATCACCTGGACGCCATCAGGGGAAGGATTCGGGAGCAGAAATGAGGCCGGCGCCTGAGAGCAGCATTTTGGGAAAAAATGACGCCGGCGCGAGAGCAGCATTTTGGGAAAAAATGACGCCGGCGCCTCAGCGAGAGTCGTTTCTTCCCGGGATTTCCCGGGCATCCTGTGTAAAAAAACAGTACGCGGAGGGTGCGCGGCTATCACCCAGACGCCATCAGGGGAAGAGGGAGAGTATATTCATATTGAGTAATTGTGGACGGCGAGGACGGGAGGGGACTGAGCGCGAGGGCGGCGCAGGTAGGGGAAGGGAGAGGGGGGAAGGGCGGGGCACCGCGGGCCAATGGAGGACGGGCCGGGCTGAGGTCCCGGGGCCAAAGGCTCCATGATATTCTCAGGCGGAGGCCCCTTGCCTGCCTAGCGGGCCGCGAGGCGCCCGGCTGCTGCGATCGCCGTGAGGACGTCCGTGTCCTCGCGGCACGGGCGCCACAGCTCTGCCGCCCACGCCGTCCCCTTCCCCTGGGGTGCCTGCGGCTGCGACCATGGGCGGCGCGGGCTTCCTGGGAGCACGCCCCGAGGTGGCTGCCGTCAGCTGGGGCCTCGAAGCCGCACCACCGGCAGGGCACCACCAGGCTGCCGCCGTGGGTCGTGAACGGGCCCTGGAGCCGCAACTGCGCCCAAGGGCGGACGGCGTGGCACACAAGAGCTAGGTCTGACCTCCGCCAGGCTGCGCGCGCCCCGGGCCGGGTATAGCGCGCGCTGGGCCGTGAGCCACTCGTCCTCTCGCGCCTGCGTGCTTGGGTCGACGGCCTCGCGGAGGTATCGCCGGGCCACCCGCTTCCTCTGTTCGTTCCTTGTCCTCCGTTCTCTTCCTTCTCCTCCTGCCCTTCCTCCTCAGGTCGCTGCTGCTCCTGCCCACCTCCTGCATCCCATCTTCTACGGCCCGAGACTACCCCTCCTCCTCCTCCTCCTCCTCTTCCTCCTCCTCCTCGTCCTCCTCCTCCGCCTCCTCCTCCTCCTCGTCTTCCTCCTCGTCTTCCTCCTCGTCGTCCTCCTCGTCGTCGTCGTCCTCCTCCTCCTCCATTCCTTCTCCTTATAGATAAGTCCTCCCTGTCGCACCCCGAGGCCAGTTTTTAGGGCGGGCCGGGCGTTTCGCCTGAGACTCCCTCACAACTTACGACTTTGAAGCTTAACAAGTGAGAGCAGCTTAACAGATGGAGGGCGGGTGGTTTTAAACTGTAACTTTGACCCTGCCGCCGCGCACATTCGTTTATATATATATATATAAAACACATGCAAGAGCTTCGCGGATTGAGGGCGGGTGGCTTTCAAAATGTGGTTATCGCCTGAGCGCCGCGCGCATTCGGTTTTAACAGGTGCAAGAGTTTCACAGATTGAGGGGGGGTCGCTTTCAAAGTGTGGCTCTCGCTTTAGCGCCGCGCACATTCGTTTTGAACATTTGCAAGAATTTCCAGATTGAGGGCGGTTCCTTTTCAAAATGTGGCTCTCGCCGTTGCGCCGCGCACATTCGTTTCAACAATTGCAAGAGTTCCGCGGGTTCCCATGATCAACGTACCAGAGGTGGTGTTTGGAAGGATTCCGGATTATGCGGACGCAACCATTATATTG